GGTCAATGAGAAAGCAGATTTCAGCGATGTTCCGCATGGATTTTCAGAAAAAAGGCCTGAACAACGTCGCGTCCACCGAGGCCGTGGGGAAAGGTTTCTGCCGGGTTTTAGCAGGGTGTTAATTGGAAATAGCATTGCTTAGTCTCTGTGTTTTGTAGTGGTGGGAAAATCCTTTCCTTCCTTTCTATTCGGCTTCCTTGTTTGTTAGTGTGTCCTGATATCCTTCTATAGCAGAATTACAGCTATTATGGCACTATTCTTCTGAAACTACAAATACTGGAAACTTCGGGGGAGGTGCAGTGTTCTTAATAGTATCGGTGAAAGCACAAAGACAGGAAATCTGTCCAAAATAATAAATTTGATTGAAATGCTTGTCCATAAACAAGTAAACATAAGTGTGGGTTTGTCTATAATTATACATTAATTACCATGAAGATGCTTTACTTCTGTAAGAAGCACCTAGATTTTTCCAGTTGTTTTGACATCGGCTACCCTTGCATCCTTTTCTCTTTGATGCTTGCCAAAGGATGCTTTACATTTAGTAATGGCAAATAAGTAAGTAAACGTTACCTTATAGAAGTTTAAATCTGCTTTTCTTTCCTGGGACTCTGGTTTACCATATACAGTCCATATGTGTATATACCTGACTTTTATTGGGTTGTGATAAGTGTAAATAGTGATTTTTATTGGGATGAAGTGCTGTATGTAAGACAGTAGAACATGTAGGATTTCAGTGCAATGTGGTGCACATGTGTACTAACACGTATGGGAGTTAGGGTAAGCTGTATTTTAAAATGTCTTATGGTTTTCTGTTTATCTAACAAAGCTGCATAGAAAGGGAAAAAACATTGATAGGCTTCTTGCTCTTGGGGCATATTTTGAAAGTAAAATATTCATGATAAATCATGAATTCAGTAGTTTAACATCATTTATTTTGCTATTTTGAGTAGAAATTACCATGTCGGGAGAGACAGCTGTGGGGGAGGGAGGGAAGCTAACTTGGTAGTTCAAGGAGGGAGCCTCTCTAGCCTGTCTGGAATGAGGCTTTCCTCCTGAGAGAATATGGAAACATTAAAAAAAAGCTGTCACTGATAGGGAGAGAGGAGCCTAGCTATTTCTACTCTGCAAGTGCTCTATTGAGTCACCTTTGAAGCCTTTAATCAGCTGTAATTTATTATTTTTTTTATAGTCTTAGCCCATAAATTGTAACCTTAACTGTGAATTTTCATTGCTTTGCTTTGGAATAAGTGCTTTTCCATGTTTGGGGATTTTTTTTTTAACCTGTAAACTGCTGCTGATATATATCGGGAGTATGTATATACATAAATATATGTATGTAAAAACATAGCAGGTAAGAATATAGTTGTAAAACTCACCATGGCAAAACTTCTTATAATTTTCAGATGGTGCAGACCATGCTTCCAAAGTCATGGAGAGCCATGAAATTATACTTCACTACCGTGTATCAAGAAATATGGGTTGGTGTAGCATTAACAGCTTATGTCTACTACAAAATTTCATATGGTGGTAAGTTACACACTACAGTCTTCATTAGCTGTTACTTTATAGATAATGGTTTATAGATGAGAATATCCTTAACAGTTAGAAATCAGTTGTTGAAAATATCCAGCAAATAAGAAATTAACAGTCTTACTTAAGGCCAGGTCTTTTAATATGGGTTGGTGTAGCATTAACAGCTTATGTCTACTACAAAATTTCATATGGTGGTAAGTTACACACTACAGTCTTCATTAGCTGTTACTTTATAGATAATGGTTTATAGATGAGAATATCCTTAACAGTTAGAAATCAGTTGTTGAAAATATCCAGCAAATAAGAAATTAACAGTCTTACTTAAGGCCAGGTCTTTTGTCATAAAAATTTAGAAGTTTTAACATGCTCAGTGTAGAAGGTTACACCAACAAAAATACTTAAATACCAGTGTAACTGTGCCTACATTATGAAGATTAGGTAATATAGGAATTGGTTTTAAAAACATACATCTAACCTACAATGTACAGCCAGAGGCTTCTCCTGTAGATTTGTCCTGAAGGGGAAGGTAAGACTCTTCTGAACTAGAATTTACTTTGATTAGAAATTTTTTTAGAATCTTTCTTTTTTTTTTTTTTTTTTGAGTTTGCTCAAGATCTGCAAAAAAATAGAGTTTTTAAAAGGTTTTCCCATGTGAACTTGTGAAAGTCAAAGCACTTAGTTTATTTTGGGCTGATGCACCTCAAAATGTGAGGTGCATCACTGAACATTAAAATGTGTGTTACTTGGTGATATTGGATCACTTTCTCAGAGGAAGAAACAGAACATCTAATGTAAAAATAATAAATTTGAGTGGGCCAGGTCCCTCAAAGCAGAAGGGTACAACAGATTATGGTGTTTTAAAGGTTCTGTTCTTCAATGTAGGCTATGCTGAAAAAATTCCAAGTCAAACCCATGAACAATGAAACTGTAGACAAACTTGACAGGGAAAGGAACCCCTCACTGTGGGAACAGCTGAGTGATGTTACCTCAACATTTCTCTAGCTTTGTCCAAATAACTTGTCGCATGTCTAAAACTGTTACACTGCACTTACAAGCTTAAGTAAATATGAGTAGTTGAACAGCCAGAGAGAGAAAAAAACAATTTAACTTTTGCTTTAACTTCTTTAATTGCAAGGAGAATTCAAAATTGACAGACTGTTTCAAGTTTGTGTTCATGTCATGCTACTTTTATTTTCATTTATGATTTAGATAATAGATGTGGTGGTGTAGGGTTTTGAGGCCAAAACCTTGATATGGGGCAACTGTATGCTAAGGATTATTTTAAAGTGAAAATAGCTTTTTATAGCTGTAGCCCTTCCTGCAGTTTGGGGAACAGTTTTGCAAATAATACATATATTTATAGAAGAGTATGTTGTAGAATAACTTAGATTGGAAGGGACTTTGAGCTCACCTGGTCCAAACCACTGCTTAAAGTAGTTAGATCAAGGTTAGATCAGGTTGCTCATGGCCTTATTCATAATTCAAATGAGTATTTCCAAGGGTGGAGATTACACAACCTCTTATGACTGTCTTCCTCATGAAGAATTTTTTTCATCTGTTTTTGTCTGTTGACTGTGAATCAGTATTTTAGGTGAACAATTACAATGGGAATGTAAAATAAGCTATTTTTCTTATAAAGGAAAATTTTAAAGCAAACTGTATTCTTATCACTTCAGTTTACATCCGTATGTTGTGTGTATATGTATCCATATATTATGTAAAATAGTACCATTCTGTATACGTTTCTTTTGAATTACAGTAGGATTCTTGATGGCTACAATTTCTAAATGCATGGAGTCTTGGTTAATTAAAAACACTTTTAAAAAATCAATATAATGTTTACTGACATGTACCATGAAAGTACATGTTGTGTGCTTTTTAGATCTTGTTCAAGCTAAATTAGCAACACATTTTTAAAAAATCAATATAATGTTTACTGACATGTACCATGAAAGTACATGTTGTGTGCTTTAGATCTTGTTCATAAGTAGTATAAGCTAATTGAAGTTTATCTGCAAAAAATAAATAGGAAATATTTTTTTAAACTGTCATTGTTCAGCTTGTTTTTTCTTTTTTTCCAGGCAAAAAAGCAGTGGCAGACAGTAAGTATTAAATACCTAATACCCTGTTGTATTTTTTTAAATGAGCGCAGTAAAAATTAGCTCAGCATATCTTACGTAAGTTTGGGGTTTAAGTTACGGATTTAGAAAATGTTTAAAGACTACTTAAAAATACATAGTTTTGGTTTTATTGATGGTTTTATAACCTAGAAATATCTGTGAATCTGCACAGATGCTACCTCTGTCTTAAATTGTCCTTTGCGTAGGTTTTAGGAGTAGCATGGAAGTTGTATGCCTTGATTGCAGGGGGGGGGAGAATTCTTTTAAATAATAGTATCAACCATTTAATGGAATTACTTAAATCAGCACAATCTCAAGAGTAGCTGCTATTTTAGCTGTCAAGAAACTAAAAAGTTTAAACTTGCATTTTGAATTTGTATTTTTATATCCTCTATAAAGTAGTGTTTAGATATTTATGGACAGTTTCCACTGATAGCACATTGGAATTTAATTTTTCATAGCTGCTGTATCTCAGTTAACTTTCTGCACCACGATAGATAGCCCATTTGCTCCCAGTTGAATTTGTATATGAAAACATCATTTACATTTTTAAATGTGTAATTAGTGAAAATACTGCCCAGTAGACTTAAGGATAATAGCATAAATAAACTTTAATTTAGAAAGAACCATACCAAAAGTGAGGAAGAATGGATGTTTGCCTATAATAGTGCTTTAAAACTTGTGAATGAGGCTTTTTAGTATTGGCCAAGTTTACTTATGTACTTTGAGGGTATTGTTTTATTTGACAGGGCAGTTGACTCTGCCAATTCTTGTGCTCAGATGTAGATACAGTTGTCTGTTCTAGGTTCTGAACTACGTTCCTGAATTGATTTGCTCTACTGTTTGAACAGTCTAAATCGTGTCTTTTGTTTCAGAATCCTCTGGTGCTGGCCATCATTAAAGACCTCTTCTCTTCTTGGAGTATGAATCTGGTGGTTCATCATCTTCACTGTACAAGAAGCAAGTTACAACCATAGGGAAGTTAATTCTAAAACTGTACCTGATCCATCTGCTGTAATTAGAGAAAGAATAAATACATTGAGCAACAAGGAATTAAACATGTTGGACAAAGTATGCTGGAGTGTATTGTTAACCTAATTTTCAGAATAAGCATTTTTTGTTTTCTACAGTTCTTCCAAGTTCCATGTTAAACTTTTTCAATAGTACTTTGAAAAAGACCAAGTTTCTATAACTAAACTTCTTAATAGAATTAGCCAGCATTAAGCCTCTTTTTTTTTCTTTCCCCCTAATGATGTCTTTTTTGGCTATAACTTTTGAAATACTCCATTTACTTTTAAAATGTCATTTAATAGTATGCCAAGTGTGAGGACTTAATTCTCAGCTTTTTGTCAACTTGTGCTGCAATAATTAAGTGTACAAAAAGTTCTTTTTAAAACCTTTCATATTTTTAGAGAGTTCTTAGTTCTGCAAGGTTTAAAAGCAAAAGCTGTATTGTTATTAAATAACACCATGCAAAATGTTTAGAGAGGTTTTAAAAAGTACGTTACTGGCAACTATCTTTTTTTGTCTTTCATATTCAGTAGAGCTAATGAATTATTCTGAAAGGTTCTTCCTTTAGTCACAAATTTTGCAAGGGAGTAAGTAATAACATGCCCATATTGTATGAGAAAATTGATGTTACATGGGCCCTCATCTGCCATTTGAGCTTAGGAAAATCTCAGAATTTAAAGGGAATAATGAACTCATGCACTGTGGCAGCAGTTAATATAAGCATAAGCAAACATTTAACTGACTTCAAAGAGTTTTCCTTTTCCCTGAAAATTTAGAAGTAATATATGTATTACTAGGATGGGTTATTAGTGGTTTTTGCAGATAGCTATTAAAGTAACTCCACAGCTAGTAGTATATTTTGGAGACGCTAGGAACCTATCTTAACGAAAATCAGTTACACACTGAATTCTGTACCAAGGATACATAGTGTATAAAACCAAAATTGGACTTCATGTCATGTTTTGTTTAAATTTAGCCTAATCTGCTTTTGAGAAGATTAAGAGGCTCAAGTCATTTTAATGACTTAATGCTTACATACATCTTTTTAACTACTTCACTGAAACATCTTAAATCTTTCAGCTTGATTGAAGTTTTGCTTTTCAATCTCTCTGACTGCAGTATCGGGCCATAACTTAAATATTTTGTATTTGAATACGCAGGAGCTTGATAACCTTACCTGCTGATGGTAACCATTCCAAACACTGTGTTGCCTTTAATTTCTTCAAAATGTATACTTCTGCTTAAGCTTAATAGCTATACCTACTATGAGTAGAGTAAAATTACCAGTCATATTTCTCTGAAAGCTTTTTTTAAAAAAGGCAGGTATAGCATTACTCAATTTGAAAAGAATAGGTGACATGTCTCTATCATGCATTCTTGACATTTCTTCCACCTTCCACCGTTTTCCTTGTTGCATCTTCCCTTGATACGTTTTAGCTGATTCTTTCATGACTTTCATCATTTCTGTATGGTTTTTTCAGTGTTTCCTCACCACAGATGAATGAGAAGTAGAAAGAACTCGCTATTTCTTTTTTTACATAAAACCAAAAGCATCCAGAAGAAGGGAACAGGGAATAAAAACTAGAAGAAAATGGAGCTTCAAATGAACAAATATTAGGTCAGTGGTGATTACAGGGTGGGTCAGAGTTGTGGTATAGTTAATAAGTGGTTCAGATTGAAAATCTATGCCAGGTAAGGAGCTATACATGCATTTGTAATGCAAATTTATGATCACCAAGTTATAGTTCCTAAGATACGACACATACTTCAGATGACCTGCTTTAACAATATTCAATTACAGAGCTGAGGGAAAACAAGCTAGGGAAAAAAAAAACCATTAATCACTGCAGGATTTGCTTCGCCTTAGCTAGAACCTAGCACACTGGCACTGAGCTACATCAACATGCTGCCTGATCTCCTAGATGTTAATTGAAAGCAAGAGGAGCTTCTGCTAACCTGCCCTTGGAGGACAGTTAACTGCACTTTTAGGTAAACTTAACCTACTTCGACTCTTAATGCTTCTTGATACCTGACTTGCTTGATTTTCTAGTAGGGAAAGTACATACGTATGGGCAGCAATGTCTGGGTTATGAAACTACAATTTCTACTGAAATAATGCTGTCTGCAACTGGTTCTTCCATTAGTGCATCTCTGTCGGAAATTTCTGTGAAGGTTGCAGAATATTCCTTCCTGTTTGTGATTCTTGACACACAAATCTCTGCAAAAGATAAGGGCAGTAAAACTGGTGTTTATGTTTAAATAGGTTTTTTTTTACTTGAGTAGGTTACAGGAGGAGGAAATTAACTTTCAGTCAGTGACTTGACTCAAAAGCAGAATTCAACACACCCATAATGCGTAACACCTGTAGTACTATCTGTATACTTTCTGCTCCTCTATGCTGAAGCACACCAGGTAGTATAAAAAACAATAGAGGAAAGTTAGCTAAGGCATTGTAAGTGCCATTTCTTATTTACAGTGAGGTGTGGAAGGAGTTATCAGTTTTCTTTGCAGCACTAGCATCTGGAGTGTAGCCCTAGGTAGAGAAGTATTGCAAAGGAGTACCCTCTTATTTTAGAATCTGTGCGCTTTTTTCCTAATTTAGCTAAGGTGATTTCTAAAGCTAACTTAAAAAGCTTTTCTTGTTCCAGGTAAGTGTCTATATAGACAAGCCTCAGCTCCTGAACAAATCAATTTTCTATGCAAATGACTATTTATGATCAGGACTTTAATCCATGGAGGTAATATTCATCATGATTCACAATTAAACACTGGTGGGGGAAATGCTTACTGCTCATTGATGGATCATGCTGTTTCCATTTAGCTGCTGCCTCTTTATATTGCTGACATTTCTAAAATGAGATGATTACATTTAAACTTTGTGTAGTAAAATAGTTCAGCAACTACATTTTTCATTTGCTGCCTGTAATAAGGCATCAGCAAAGACAAAAACCGTTTACTACCTTTGCAATGTTAGTGGAACAACAAACTCCTACAGGGGTTGAAAAGCCTCACCCAATTACTGCAGCACCATCTTGACCACGTTTTGCTGTGGCACTGGTAATTTTTTTTTTTTAAATTGATACAGAACATGAAAGCTCAGCAGTAGGGAGCTGTACTAATAATGACAAGGCTAATGCAAGATACGGTCTTTTTACAGTGCAAGTACTTCTGTATTTGCCCCTCTATGCTGTGTCTTACTTATGGCCAGGATTTCTCATTGTGGAGCTCTGAGATTTCTAGAACATTTTCAAGTGTTGTCCTACAATTGGGAATCTCAGAGTATCCCCTGCATGCTAAAAAAGTATTACGGAATACTCTAGGAGAGCAGCAAAATAGAGTCGGAGCCAAGGAAACGTTAGTCACAGGGCCCAACCTACTTAACGTCTTTAATGGCTAACTTGGGGAAAAAAACCCAAATGTGTATTCATGTTAATTGGGAGGATGAGTAAAGTTGCAGGAAATGATCTAAAGTAACTAAAACAGCTGGACTAGTCTCCTATTTATCTGAATCATGATAGCAAACCACTGTTTGTAGTACAAATACAGCCTGATACAGAGCTGGTATGTATATGTGTATTGTACTTTCAGTCCCCAAGGAAGGAAAACTATCAGGGGCTTGTTAGACACAGGTGATTATCTGTGACATCACCACCAGATGGCTGACATGAAACTAAGTGAGGAAATCAACATGTGAAATCTCTATTGTTTCATTCACGGAAATCTGTAAAGCTGCTAGGAAGGAAAGAATGGCAAGATGGAGATTCCCTGAGGCATTAAATATGTTGGTTAACAATTCAGTAAATGGAGGAACAAGAAGTGACAAGATAGTGCTTGAACAGCAAGCTCTTCATACTATAATTCCATGACCTTTAGCAACTAACATTTAGCAGCTACTGTTCTCTTTACTTTAAGAATATAAAGCCACGTGACTCTGGTTTGGTAATTTATGAAGAACTCATAAACAAGAAATTCCTGTAGTCTACTCCACTGCTGCTGGCAAACTACTTGGAAACAATTGCTCTCCCCTAACTCAAAATGAACTGACCACCACAAGAATGGATTACTTGGAAGTTTTAATTAAATTCTGCTAAGGGTACTATGATTTCTTTGGTTGTGGTTGAACAGTGTGAGTACTCTGGCAGCTACACCAGCTTGTGGAATTTCCACCCTTATACCACAGTGCCTTGCTCCTCATAGTTGTGCCGATACAACTACTTGTGAATCAGATAAGGCAATTTTTTCATAATTTTAGGGGATTTCCCCCTCCAAAATAACAAAACAAGCACTCAGGGTTTTTTTCTGTTTTAATTTGGATCCATCTCCTGATCCTGTTTACAGCAAAGCTGTTTTATAACTTGCATTACAGCACAACAGCATTATTTTTGCAGAAAAGGGGAAGAATCATCAGAATTTTTATCTTCACATTCACTCACTCAGCTTTCCTACGTCATTGTGTCCCTTACAATACTTTAATGCAAGTTTCCTCCTCATACCCAGCTACGCACATGACCAAAGTACTGTCTCTCCCATAAGAACTGTCATCACTGTCAACGCTCACAGGAATGAATGCAGAACTCCACCCTGTATGCAAGTCAGGAATGTCAGCCTGCGCTTCAGCAAAAAGGCAGAACCTTGCTTCCTTCCTCTGTGACAGCACATCGCTTTCTCAATTTTATAGTATCACTTAATTAATTGGGACAAACAAACAAGTAGGGAACAGGGAGAACAATTGTACCACAATATCCTACTGCTCAATACTTGCAGGAAGAATACTTTTAGTAATAAAGGATACATTTGGAAGTGGTTCTTCAAATCAAATTATATTATTGGTTGTCAACAAATGAAAATACACTTTTAATTATTATGACCTTCAACAACCTAAAGTAACTTTTAATTGACATGACCTTTAACTATTTTACATCCGTATCATCGCTGTAACTTCAGCTATCTGCTGGAACAGACAGTAGAGATTCTTCAGAGCTAATGAAGTGTGTTTGCTAGGAAATGATAATAGGGATTCTGTGGGTGGTAGAACAGCAGTATACTGAATGAATCCCATCTGT